TCTCGATGGTTCTACGACCATAAATTGTTTTTTGCAAAAAAATAATAATAATAAAATGAATTTTATGCTCAAAATTGACGGCTACGCCTCTTATTTAATATAATTGTATTTCCAAGTTATTATAAGTTAAGATTTGTTTTGTTGTAACATCACTAGATGTTTCAAGGGTGGCGGTAATGTTTAACTTCAATTTAATTTAATTTCTTTAAAAATGCAACCCTTTGCTCTTTTTCTTCAATTTGTCAAATACCATTTTATTCAACTTTGAACTTTCGTTTAAAGTTAGTGATGACAAATTGTAACGAGCAAAGATGATCAATTCGCGCCTCTCTTGTGACATCTAGGCTTGCTCGCTACTTTTTAACTTACTTGTTATTCGGATTTTCGTCCAACAACATCATCTTCACAACGCCCATTGTCCAAAAGGTAAAGTTATATTAGTTTTTCGACTAATACAATATTCAATAAAACCGCCAATTGTTATTATTTAAAAATTTTAATTATTTGTGTTTTATTTTCCTTTTTTCATTTTCGCTGCTCCGCAATACATCTATTCTGGCCAGGAATGGTTACGGATGTACAAATCAGGATGTACATAGACTTACTCGGACCGTATCCTCGCAGTAAAGGCTGTTATATAGGATTGCTGATTGTTCTTGATCACATGACAAAGTATCACAGGCTATGTCCATTAAAAAAATGTGCATCAACCGCCATACAAGACTTCCTTTAGAAGCAAATTTTTCATGTGTACGGTGTCCCCGAAACGATTATAAGCGACAATGGGAGTCAATTCAGGGCAAATGACTTAAACGCTTTTTTCACATCCCTATGAATTATTCACGTATACACAGCATTATACTCGCCACAGTCTAATGCATCAGAAAGAGTAAATCGGTCTCTGATAGCTGGCATTAGATCATACCTCAAATATGATCATAGAGAATGGGATGCACATCTGTCGGCAATAAGCTGTGCACTGCGCAATTCTTATCAACATGTTTAATAACTTGCCTAACAAATACTTCGATTTAAGACTTAGTTGACAAAGGTCAGTATGTATGGGAGTAAGTTGAGTATCGGATGTGAGAATTTTATCAATAACAGCGGACAGTGTTGTAAGACCTAGAATGCAGCGAGGCTGACCAACCATTACATTTGTAAACTGATGACAGAATTCGTAATCTAAAATATAAGAAAATTTATAATAATAAGAAATTCAAAACTGACTAAAACTCAGTAAAATTGTCGTAATTCTGAAACAAATGCTGGTGGGGATCAGGTCTATGCAAATTGCCAAACTGTCACAATTTTTGAAAAGTAAGTTCATTATCCTTTTATACCCTCCACCATAATATGGCGGGTATATTAAGTTTGTCACTTCGAAATATACATTTTAGACTCCATAAAGTTTATGTATTCTTCATCAGCATAAAATTATATGTCGACTTAGCTAACCTGTATCTTTCTACCATGGGTAAACCGTGTGTGGAAGAATACAGGAAGTCGCATCCATGGTACAATAAGGAGGTAGAACAGCTTCGTAAAACTACAGAAATACAGCCCTGAGGTACCCACTTCCTGTCAAATTTGGTTGCAACAAGTTTTTCCATTTATTCAATAATTTCCTCAGTTTCTAAAATCAGTTAAACAGCAGAAAAATGAATGAAATGTCTGGATTTTCTTTCAGAAATATGATCTAAACAGTTTTATATTTCAAATCCATGGCTAAACTGGCGAATAGCTTTAACGCGTCTCGTAATTTACGCGTCTTCTAATCATCGAGTTTGGAAATATTATGTTTTTAGTTTTCAAAACAATAAATACATACACAAAATTGGCAGAACTCGGGCACACTTAAAAAAAATTGTAATCAGCTGGTAGCTCTACCTTACCTTTTTATTATGCTATGGTCGCATCGACACAGCTGCAGGGACAATGAATTGTCAAACCGACTTTGGAATTGAAAATGTTAAATCAGAAATTATTTGGTTCCTCTTCTATTGAGCTTAGAAACTTGGAGTTATTTTTAAAATAACTTCTGGGGAGAATATCCCAGACAAAAAACAAAGGAACTGATGAGGATTGGTGGCTCTTTCCGAAATGTAGGTATTCCCTGTCTTATCCCCTGGTAAACATTACCATCTTTCTCCTCTAATAAACCAACGGTGTTTTTATAAAAACAGCAATAAAGGGATTAAGCCTGGCCATTTGCAACAACAAAATTATTGAAATATGTAAAAATTGTTGAAAAATACATATCATGACAACCTCCGATTCGCATCGTATAAGAATACATATAAAAATCTACTTATTTTTTACAAAACATTTTAATCTTTTAACATATCAATATTCCCAAGCGTTGCTGTATCTACCTGTATTATTCTACCATGTGTTAACCCGCCGAATCTAATGAACCCAGTCATTTAATCATCCAAAGTCTAAACCTACCATTCATTGTACAATCGTGTGTTCGAACTCCAAAGCATGGTAGAAGCATATAAGTCGACGCATCAACACAGCTGCTGCTACAGTGAACTGTCAAACCAAGTTTGAATTGAATATGTTGAATGAAAAATTATTTAAATTTATAAAAATTGTTGAAAATAGAAAAAATATAAAAATCTGCTTATATTTGAAAAAACATTTAAGATTGTTTTACATATCAATGTTTCCAAGCATTGATGCATCTACCTGTATTCTTCTACGATGCTCCAAAGATAGGAGCATGGTAGAAAAATACAGGTAGATGCATCAACGCTTGGGAACATTGATATGTCAAAATTTTTTAAATATTTCTTAAAAAATAAGTGTGTTTGTATATGTTTTCCTACACGTCGCCAATCGGAGGTTGTTACAATATGCATTTTTTAACAATATTTATAAATTTGAGTAATTTTTCATTCAACAATTTCGGTTCCAAAATTGGTTTGACAGTTCATTGTCCCAACAGCTGTGTCGAAGCGTCTACCTATATTCTTCTACCATGGATAGGAGAGTGAACAGCGCAATATTATAAATATTGTCAATATAAATACTGTCAATATTTGACGGCGACAATCGCCTTGACTGCTCTGTTTTCGCCTTTTGTTATAGATCGAAAACAAATATTTGATATAAATTATTAAGTGAATTAGTCAATGATTGTATAATATTAGATTTGTGTAGAATATTTAAATAAAACCGGACTCTTTAAACTGCAATATCAGTCTCATTGCAGAGTCGTCATATATTGCATTTTGTGCATATTGCCTTCCTGTCACCTTCCTTTAAAATTTGCAATTGATTTAAAACATCAACAAGCCACAAGGAAAAGCATGGTTAATGGTTAAAACATAATACTAAATATTTGCGCGATTTTGACTTAACTCTTGTTTATTAGCACAAATTGTAGCATTTTGGAAAGTGTAATGTCTGCCCACAGGGTAGCCTGATAATTTCTTTCAAGACCCGCCCGAAACCATTGTATCTCCAATGGCAGTGAGCCCACCACCAATAAATAAAACTGAAGAATATATCTGGGTACTTTACCTCACTTGCAATAAGAATTTAATTCAGTGACAAGCTCTGTGTTACCTCTCCAGTGAGGTGAATATAAATTTGAGAGCACGGTTTAACAGAAAGAATTTACTCAGTCCCTTTTATGATTTCTCATTGCTTGTTGTAATTCAAAAGAAATAGAAAAGAAAACAACACACATTTGCGTTTACATACGCAAAGAATGTAAATTTGTAATTTGATTTTTTTCATTGTTTTGATCTGTATCCGCACTCTTTACTAGTGGTATATCTTGCTTTGAAAGAAAGTAGATATTTCGAAAGAAATTAACCCTTTAACGACCTTAATTTTATTAAAATGTCTCAGTTACTTCAATCAGTCAAAGCATTTGAAGAAACCTTCCTGTAATGAAATATAGTATGATTCGTTATATTATGTAGCAATTCCCTTATTTGTTAAGCATAATTTTTTTTAATAAAAATGAATTGTAAAAGTCAAAGGATGACTTGGTAAGGAAGTCCCTAATGTTTTCTTGTAGTATGGAGTGAAGAAGGAGAAAAGAGGTTGTAAGTATATTCAGGGTTCTGATAATAAGTTTAAGCGCTTTCAGAACATTGGACGTTGAGGGTTATGAAGCGGATTCCCACATCAACAGCAGTGAGGATCAGTATTTTAAAAAGACATAGGTATTTTTTTGTTGTTGTATTAATTTGCTTAAAATAGTTGGCTAATGTGGGGAAATTGTTTGAAGATTAGTCATTTTGGACCAGTTAGTTTAACCATATTAGTCATTAATATAAAAATAGGGAGTCTATAATAATTACATGTGATGAATAACAGTTTATGCGGAAAAGGACCGAACCTCCCCAACCGACTGATTGCTAGCATTGCAAAGGCTCCCGCAGACCTTCGTCTCCATAAACTCTTCGGTGTTTAAAAAGAAATAAATAAATAACATATTCACCTTACTCTGTTTGGACATTACATTAATTTGGCGCCCATCGGTGGGGCAAGAAGTGAATTTTGCTCTATTTTTAATATGATAATTTTGTTAACTTTGTTTAAGATTCGATTTATTTCCAGTTTGAAGAATCACAAACTTAGCAGAATTGCATTTTTTGACCGCTGTTTTGACAGGCTATGTATATGTCGTTCAATGTTGGTTTGATCCTTTTAAAATGTTTTGATTGAGTTATCAAACACCCATAGACCAGTTTAAGACCTATATCTATTGTCTTTTTTTTTTCAAATATACACCAATTTTTTCTTCTTCACTTTAATGGCAAGAAAATATTCAAGTTATGATAAATAAATTTTGGTAGGTTTACGAATCACTAACAGTATAATCTGAATTCTGCAGGCAGAAAATTTTTTTCCGATTTTTTTTAAATGCTAAAAACGCCCGTACAGAACTCTCACCCTAGTCGTGTTCGCAACCGCCGCTACCATCTACAGTACCTCTTAGGATGGAACCAGCAGTGTGCAACATCTGTAAACATAATATGGTAGAAGGTGACGATTGCCGTATGTTAAATGAATGCTTCCACACGTTTCATCGATCCTGTGTCGAGGCTCATATGTCATCATCTAATGAATGCCCAGTATGCAAGAGATCTTGTGAACTAAATGAGCTAAGAGATATAGTCGTTCAAGCCAAAAATGTCCCTGTCTTCAAACCAAATGCTCCCAGAGGAAAAGGACGAGGAGCCATGTCGAAGCAGTACAACACTCGAAGTTCTTCTCGAAATCTTTTCCAGGATAATCCTGTTTTTACGCAAAATCAAAGCCGTAGTACAAATCATCAAAATGTTTCAACACAACAGCAACCCCATATTCAATCAAATGATCAAGGAAATTGTAATCTTTCAGGTAATAACTTAAATCCCAATAACAATATTTCTGCCCATGTTCCGTCTGCTAGTAACCTAAGTCATTTGTATCCAAATACAATAGAAAACAACAGGCAAATTGCGTATACTAGTAAAATTAACCAAGAACAAATCCAAACTAATACGCATGGAGAATCCCGGAACATTTCTACTAACACTATACCAAATCATTCTCAACCAACAAGTACTTGTAATGTAACAAACGCTTCCTCACATTTTTCAATGAGTACCAATAATAATAATATGCTATTTGATAAGATCACTTCAATTATCCATAATTGGAACCTAAAATTTAATGGTTCCTCGAACGGATTAAGTGTTCAGGAATTTCCCTACCGATTAGGTTCTCTTACTACAGATTACTTTAATGGTGATTATAGTGTCATTTGCCGAAATTTGAATTGCCTTTTAACAGGAAAAGCCAGAAACTGGTATTGGCATAGCGCGAACATGTTTTTTTCATTGAATGGAAATCGTTTTGTGAAGCGCTCATAGATCAATATAAACATTTTAAGTCATCTTTCGATATTCGGGAGGAAATTCGAGCTAGAAAGCAAAAGCCAAATGAAACGATTGATGCCTTCTTTAAAACTGTTTCGGCAATGATCGATAAACTCCCAAGGGCGATGTCAGAAGCCGAGCTGATTGAAATTTTAGCACGAAATCTTCGTCCTGACATTCGCCAAGATCTTCTTTACGTCCCCATCACGTCAATTTCACATTTCCGAATGCTCGTTCAGATGCGAGAAAATTTTTTAGCGACGATCACGTTCGTAAGACTTTGCCTAGTCGAAATGTTCCATTTCAAATGACTCGAAAATAAATAGCTGAATTAGCCACTGACGATCATGATACCCATGTTACGGAAGAAAGTCAAGAAACTTTTGTAGAAGCAATTAGAAAATTTGAGCAAGTTTCCACTTGTTGGAAGTGCGATATTGATAATTGGCATGATTGCACACAAGTTCGAACCGTATTTTGCTATGGATGTGGGTCAAAAAATATATATAAGCCTAATTGCATAAAATGTACAAATAAAAAACAAAATAGTTCAAATAACTTAAAGAATTACAGTCCACAACTGGACAAACAATAATAACCAATTTAAATTTGTCTCAACGTGAAAATCGGGCTAAGAACGATAGTTCTGAAATCAATAACACTGACACTAAAGATAGCTTACCTCCCACAACAAAGTTAATTACAATTTTAATAAGACCAATATCTAATGATACAAATTATGACTATGACGTTTCCAAAATTATATACCCAAAAATGCCCTTTCATACCCGATGGCAGTTATATTACCAAAAAAGGAATGAAATATTTAACGATTCTGAGTTATGTCCCATAGAATTAAAAAAACCAAAGCGATCCTCTTTCTTTAAAATGAAAAAACTTTGTTCAAAGTTTTTAGTGTCGACAATTGTTTCTAACCCAAAAGATTTCAGATACTACGCTAAAGTTTCCTTTTTGGATGTGGGAGAGTACGGTCTCATTGACACTGCTGCCAATGTAAGTTGCATCGGTTCTGAACTAGCATCAAAAGATTATGATAAGTTTCCCAATTGCCATATAGTAACATCTTCAATGAAAACTGTAGATGGTGGCTTACAGAAAGTATGCGGTTGGCTAGAAGTTAATATCTGTTTCAAAACCCATACCCAGCATTACCCAAAAACTCATCTTAGGGATTGGCTTTTGTAAAATTTTCAATTTGTTTCCAAACATAATCAAAACCAACGGCATTATTACATCAAAGTATGATATAAATGACGCAGAAAAAGCGAAAAGTTGAAGTTTTTCAGATCTTTCTATTAATAATAATAATGACGACATTATCCCGTCACTTTTGTGTCACGAAGGTGAATTATCTGGGTTACGTCATTGGAAACGGTGGGATAATGACAGATAAAGATAAAAATGTGGCAATTAGAAATTGGCCTGTACCAAAGAACCTTAAACAGGTTCGTGGGTTTCTGGGCCTAGCAGGATGGTACAGGAGATTTATTCATAACTTTTCTACAGAAGTCTTCCCCATAACTGATGTAGTGTCAACTAAAAAGAAATTCCTTTTGACTAGTGAGGCGCAAAAGGCTTTTGAAAGGATTAAGATGTTGTTAACTACAGTCCCTATCCTTACGAACCAGGATTTCAAGAAGAAATTCTTTCTTCATTGTGATGTTAGTGATTAGGGTATCGGGGCAGTTCTCGTCCAGTTAGATGACAAAGGTCATGAAAATCCAATTGCTTATATGAGCAAGAAACTGAACTCGGCCCAACGTAATTACAGCGTCGCGGAAAGAGAATGTCTGGCAGCAATTGAGGCGATTAAAAAATTCCGCTGCTACCTGGAACACCAGGAGTTTGAGGTCGTAACTGACCATTCAAGCTTACTATGGCTTATGCGTCAACAAGACTTAACCGGTCGCCTTGCCCGTTGGGTATTTAAACTTCAAAGCTATAAATTTACAATAACCCATAGAAAAGGGAAAGACAATGTCGCCCCGGACGCCTTATCAAGAATTCCGGACAACGAAATATCAACTTTAGAGATATCCAAACCGGAAATTGACTTGAACTCACCATTCTTCGAGGATGAAGAATATAAAGCGCTGAAAGACAAAGTGGCACAAAATCAGGCTAAATTTCCTGATGTGAAATCTATAGATTAGTATGTGTACTATAGGGCACAACACTATACAGGTGATGAAAAAGAAGAAAACGAAGCCTGGAAATTGTGGGTACCACTCAGGTTGAGAATGAAAACTATATCAGTAGCACACGATACTACTGTAAATGCTCATGGAGGTATGAACAAAACTCTTCAGCTTTTGAGAAGACATCTATTCTGGCCAGGAATGGTTACAGATGTACAAATCAGGATGTACATAGACTTAATCGGACCGTATCCTCGCAGTAAAGGCAGTTATATAGGATTGCTGATTGTTCTTGATCACATGACAAAGTATCACTGGCTATGTCCATTAAAAAAATGTACGTCAACCGTCATACAGGACTTCCTTCAGAAGCAAATTTTTCATGTGTACGGTGTCCCCGAAACAATTATAAGCGACAATGGAAGTCAATTCAGGGCAAATGACTTAAACGCTTTTTCACATCCTTAGGAATTAATCACGTATACACAGCATTATACTCGCCACAGTTTAATGCATCAGAAAGAGTAAATCGGTCTCTGATAGCTGGCATTAAATCATACCTCAAATATGATCATAGAGAATGGGATGCACATCTGTCGGCAATAAGCTGTGCACTGCGCAATTCTTATCATCATGTTTAATAAATTGTCTAACAAACACTTCGATTTAAGACTTAGTTGAAAAAGGTCAGCAGAATTCTATCAATAACAGCGGACAGTGTTGTAAGACCTAGAATGCAGCGAGGCTGACCAACCATTACATTTGTAAACTGATGACAGAATTCGTAATCTAAAATATAAGAAAAATAATAAGAAATTCAAAACTGACTAAAACTCAGTAAAATTGTAGTAATTCTACAGAAATACAGCCCTGAGGCTACCCACTTCCTGTCAAATTTGATTGCAACAAGCTTTTTCCATTTATTCAATAATTTCCTCAGTTTTTAAAATCAGTTAAACAGCAGAAAATGAATGAAATGCCTGGATTTTCTGCAGTGAGGATCAGTATTTTAAAAAGACATAGGTATTTTTTTTTGTTGTTGTATTTATTTACGTAAAATAGTTGGCTAATGTGGGGAAATTGTTTGAACATTAGTCATTTTGGACCAGTTAATTTAACCATATTAGTCATTAATATAAAAATAGGGAGTCTATAATAATTACATGTGATGATTAAAGGTTTATGCGGAAAAGGACCGAACCTCCCCAACCGACTGATTGCTAGCATTGCAAAGGCTCCCGCAGTCCTTCGTCTCCATAAACTCTTCGGTGTTTAAAAAAAATAAATAAATAACATATTCACCTTATCCTGTTTGGACATTACATTAATTTGGCGCCCATCGGTGGGGCAAGAAGTGATTTTTGCTCTATTTTTAGTATGATAATTTTGTTAACTTTGTTTAAGATTTAATTTATTTTCAGTTTGAAGAATCTCGAGAACGAATCATCCTGAGAAATTAGTTTACTCTCCTAAAGCTATTAAAAATTGATCTGTGGAATCAAAACCCTTTCATTCGGCTAGGACATCACAAACTTAGCAGAATTGCATTTTTTTGACCGCTGTTTTGACAGGCTATGTATATGTCGTTCAATGTTGGTTTGATCCTTTTAAAATGTTTTGATTGAGTTAGCAAACACCCATAGACCAGTTTAAGACCTATATCTATTGTCTTTTTTTTAATATACACCAATTTTTTCTTCTTCACTTTAATGGCAAGAAAACATTCAAGTTACGATAAATAAATTTTGGTAGGTTTACGAATCACTAACAGTATAATCTGAATTCTGTAGGCAGAACATTTTTTCCGATTTATTTTAAATACTAAAAATGCAAGTACAGATCTCTCCCCCCAGTCGTGTTCGCAACCATCGATACCATCTACAATACCTCTTAGGATGGAACCAGCAGTGTGCAACATCTGTAAACATAATATGGTAGAAGGTGACGATTGCTGTATGTTAAATGAATGCTTCCACACTCGAAGTTCTTCTCGCAACCTTTTCCAGGATAATCCTGTTTTTACGCAAAATCAAAGCGGCAATGTCTCTGCCGACAAAACACCTACTCCGACTAGAGATACAGAAGTTTCTCCTCACTTGTTTTCCCCATTACAGTCAGCTAATCCCAGCAGTGCCATTAATGCGGCTGAAATAGAAAAATGGTCGAACTTAGTCTCACAAAGATTCTTCAAAATATAAACCTCCTTCTTAGAAGTGACAATGCTAACACTAGTGGTAATACAAATCATAAAAATGTTTCAACACAACAGCAACCCCATATTCAATTAAATGATCAAGGAAATTGTAATCTTTCAGGTAATAACTTAAATCCCAATACAAAATTTGTGCCCATGTTTCGTCTGCTAGTAACCCAAGTCATTTGTATCCAAATACAATAGAAAACAACAGGCAAATTGCGTATACTAGTAAATTAACCAAGAACAAATCCAAATTAAAACGCATACATTCCTACTAACACTATACCAAATCATTCTCAACCAACAAATACTTGTATTGTAACAAACGCTTCCTCACATTTTTCAATGAGTACCAATAGTAATAGTAATATGCCATTTGATAAGATCACTTCAATTATCCAGAATTGGAACCTAAAATTTTATGGTTCCTCAAACGGATTAAGTGTTGAGGAATTTCCCTACCGATTAGCTTCTCTTACCACAGATTACTTAAATGGTGATTATAGTGTCATTTGCCGAAATTTGAATTGCCTTTTAACAGGAAAAGCCAGAAACTGGTATTGGCGCTATCACGAACAGGTTAATTTCATTGAATGGAAATCGTTTTGTGAAGCGCTCATAGACCAATATAAACATTTTAAGTCATCTTTCGATATTCGGGAGGAAATACGAGCTAGAAAGCAAAAGCCAAATGAAACGTTTGATGCCTTCTTTGAAACTGTTTCGGCAATGATCGATAAACTCCCAAGGGCGATGTCAGAAGCCGAGCTGATTGAAATGTTAGCACGAAATCTTTGTCCTGACATTCGCCAAGTTCTTCTTTACGTCCCCATCACGTCAATTTCACATCCCGTTCAGGTGCAAGAAAATTTTTTTAGCGACGATCACGTTCGTCATACTTTGCCCAGTCGAAATGTTCCATTTCAAATGACTCGAAAAAACATAGCTGAATTAGCCACTGACGATCATGGTACCCATGTTACGGAAGATAGTCAAGAAACATTTGTAGAACCAATAAGAAAATTTGAGCAAGTTTCCACTTGTTGGAATTGCTATATTGAGGGCCATAATTGGTAAGATGGCACACAAGTTCGAACTGTATTTTGCTATGGATGTGGGTCAAAAAGTATGTGCAATGCAGCTCAAACAATGTGTCGTCTAATGGACGAAGTAATTCCACCTGATCTCCGTCACTGCGTTTTCGGGTACTTGGACGATCTCGTCATAGTCTCTGAAGACTTCCCGACTCATCTTAAAGTTCTTATGAGGATATCCTCTCAATTCCGTAAAGCAAATATTACGTTGAATATCTTAAAAAGTCACTTTTGTGTCACGAAGGTGAATTATCTGGGTTACGTCATTGGAAACGGTGGGATAATGACAGATAAAGATAAAAAAGTGGCAATTACAAATTGGCCTGTACCAAAGAACCTTAAACAGGTTCGTGGGTTTCTGGGCCTAGCAGGATGGTACAGGAGATTTATTCATAACTTTTCTACAGAAGTCTCCTCCATAACTGACGTAGTGTCAACTAAAAAGAAATTCCTTTGGACTAGTGAGGCGCAAAAGGCATTTGAAAGGATTAAGATGTTGTTAACTACAGCCCCTATCCTTACGAACCCGAATTTCAAGAAGAAATTCTTTCTTCATTATGATGTTAGTGATTAGGGTATCGGGGCAGTTCTCGTCCAGTTAGATGACGAAGGTCATGAAAAGCCAATTGCTTATATGAGCAAGAAACTGAACTCGGCCCAACGTAATTACAGCGTCACGGAAAGAGAATGTCTGGCAGCAATTGAGGCGATTAAAAAATTCCGCTGCTACCTGGAACTCCAGGAGTTTGAGGTCGTAACTGACCATTCAAGCTTACTATGGCTTATGCGTCAACCAGATTTAACCGGTCGCCTTGCCCGTTGGGTATTCAAACTTCAAAGCTATAAATTTACAATAACCCATAGAAAAGGGAAAGACAATGTCGTCCCGGACGCCTTATCAAGAATTCCGTACAATGAGATATCAACTTTAGAGATATCCAAACCGGAAATTGGCACAAAATCAGGCTAAGCTTCCTGATGTGAAAACTATAGATTAGTATGTGTACTATAGGGTACAATACTATATAGGTGATGAAAAAGAAGAAACCGAAGCCTGGAAATTGTGGGTACCACTCAGGTTGAGAATGAAAACTATATCAGTAGCACACGATACTACTGTAAACGCTCATGGAGGTATGAACAAAACTCTTCAGCTTTTGAAAAGACATCTATTCTGGCCAGGAATGTTTACAGATGTACAAGTCAGGATGTACATAGACATCATCAGGCTATAGACTGCTCGCCATATCATGCATTCTTCGGGTTTGACATGATAACACATGCCTCTTCCTATGAACTTATAAGGAAATTACATCTTCTGTATGAGCCCACAGTCAAATTGGCGAATGATGATTACTTACAACTAATTCGAAAAGATCTGGTGAATCATATAAAGTCTGCTTTTGAGAAGCACCAGAAACATTATAATCTGCGTACTCGCCAACAGACGTTTTCAATTGGTCAAGAAGTTTACCGTCGTAACTTTTTCCAATCAAACATGGAAAATCAATTAAATGCGAAATTGGCTCCAGTGTTTTTAAAAGAAAAAGTTAGGGAGAGATTAGGAAGCCATTATTATATCCCAGAAGATTTAAACGGCAGACTTGTTTTCACATTCCATGCAAAGGACATTCGCACGTAAAACGTCCTTTTTCCAATTAATTCGTCGTCAAAAATTGAACGATTTATTTGGTTTTGTAATGTCCGTTTACTCCAATAAATTAATTTGTCTGTCTTAAACACGATAGCAGTCTTTTATTTACAAACATCTCACCATTTAACCACAACCAAATGCTATTACAGGTTCAACAATATGATTAAAGTCCTTCCAGCATAATTACCAAGTATGTGGTCCCAATGTTCAATCAAAGTCCAAATCGCTTTTGTTATCCAATTTTTTTCCGGATCTAAGTATCCTTCAAAATCAAACCTTTTTATTTCACCGCATATAATTTTTACAATTAAAACAGCTAAGTAGTAGCAGAATTTGTTTGTAAGAAAAAACAAATTCTGCTACTACTTAGCTGTTTTAATTGTAAAAATTATATGCGGTGAGAGATTTGTTTGTAAGAAAAAAAAAACGCTTATGACTGCTTTTTTATAACGAGAGTTTATAAATATCTCTATTTTTAAGAACGCTTGTTGTGGGAAGCAAATGAATATATTGTTAGGAATTGATACATAGCAGATATGTAGTTGACATTTGATAAATGACAGTAATGTTTTTGTTACATTTATTTTGCTATGATGTCCTAAGCATGTGGTGATTTCACTAGCTCGAAAGCTCATCTGGTTTGTTACCCTACTAACTCGATACAGATATGTTTGACAGACATATTGCATGTACAATGATATTTTATTAAAGATATAAAATCCTTCTAAAAAATGTTAACCATATTTTTCATAAATAACAAGAAACCTTTACCATTTTTGAAATATTCATATCTCACGCGAAAATCTCAAGCTTAGTACTTCTGGATGCAGCTAGGTGCCATGAACCAAAATATGGCAACATAACTAATTAGTTCTATGTTCTACGCAAAATGTCAATCTAAAGTATCGTGCTGCAAAATAATTATTAGTAACTTCCTTTTCCAATCAGATCCCGAAGAATTAACATCAAGTTGTTCAAACAAAAATTTCTTTATTTCGAGAACATCATATACTTCTTCTGTAAATTTTTATAATTGTTTATAAAAGCAACAATCTTTTTATCAGATTTGAGCCCGTCACGACCAATACCATAAATCAAAACTGAAGAATATATCTGGGTACTTTCAACACTGAAGGCGATGTAGAACATAATTTGATCCTGGTCAAAAACTCTATAAGAACCAAACACATCGATTATCAAAACGTGCGCATATTGTTCAAAAAATTGTAACTATTTCCGATGAATCACCACAGAGCGTATTCATACCGTGTGGGTTATGTCTAACGAAGGATCCGCCATCCTCAAACATGCTGTAGAGAAACCATCCATAACCATATTTTTATAAATACAACATCAACGTAGAACGCTGTCCCATGATCATGTTTGGTATCTGACCAACGTACTGCAACTGTTTTTATCATTATGCACATCAATATAAGTATCCATTAACTATCAAAATCTTCATTATATATCAAAAATTGTTGTTGTAAGTCAATAAAAAATTTATCAAGTCAGAGAGGAGAATTAAAATCGATGCATGTAAGAGATATCACTTCCATTTGCCTTGATACTCTTTTTGCAGCAGCAGCAGCCATCAACACCGGAAGGCCTTCTTCAAGTCGTGTAATTGGTGGTAAGTTCAAAATCAGCTGTTCTTCTTATTTGTGAACTTTATCTTACACTCAATCGACTTACCTCACTTGCAATGAGAATTTAATTCAGTGACAAGCTCTGTGTTACCTCTCCAGTGAGGTGAATATAAATTTGAGAGCACGGTTTAACAGAAAGAATTCAGTCCCTTTTATGATTTCTCATTGCTTGTTGTAATTCAAAAGAAATAGAAAAGAAAACAACACACATTTGCGTTTACATACGTAAGAATGTAAATTTGTAATTTGATTTTTTTTTTTCATTGTTTTGATCTGTATCCGCCCTCCTTACTAGTGGTATATCTTGCTTTGAAAGCAAATAGATATTTCTAAAGAAATTAACCCTTTAACGACCTTAACTTTATTAAAATGTCTCAGTTTTTTCAATCAGTCAAAGCATTTGAAGAAACCTTCCTGTAATGAAATATAGTATGATTAGTTATATTATGTAGCAATTCCCTTATTTGTTAAGCATAGTTTTTTTTAATAAAAATGAATTGTAAAAGTCAATGGATGACTTGGTAAGGAAGTCCCTAATGTTTTCTTGCAGTATGGAGTGTTGAAGAAGAAAAGAGGTTGTAAGTATATTCGGCGTTCTGATAATAAGTTTAAGCGCTTTCAGAACATTGGACGGTGAGGGTTATGAAGCGGATTCCCACAACAACAGCAGTGAGGGTCAGTATTTTAAAAAGACATATGATTTTTTTTTTGTTGTATCCATTTACTTAAAATAGTTGGCTAATGTGGGGAAATTGTTTGAACATTAATCATTTTGGACCAGTTAGTTTAACCATAGTAGTCATTAATATAAAAATAGGGAGTCTATAATAATTACATGTGATGGATAGAGGTTTATGCGGAAAAGGACCGAACCTCCCCAACCGACTGATTGCTAGCATTGCAAAGGCTCCCGCAGCCCTTCGTCTCCATAAACTCTTCGGTGTTTAAAAAAAATAAATAAATAACATATTCACCTTATTCTGTTTGGATATTACAAAAGGTAAGAGTGTCAGCAATAATTTGGCGCCAATTTGGTTGACCCCCATAATGGGCCTTTTTCGACTTTTTGGGCTTTTATAAAAAATCCGGGTCCAAAAAATCAATAATTTTACTGTTGGATAGGTATTTATATTTATTTATAAGATATTTTTACCCTAATTGTGGGAAACTATTTTTTCTTGGGGGACGGACCCGGGATTTTGACACGAAATTTCGGGTTCAAGACCCGGATCCACTTACCCAATATAGACAACGATACCTATGGTTTGAAAGTTTAAAAATAAATATAAATACCTCCAACAATCAATCAATAATTTGACTGTTGGAGGTATATATATTATTGACTACTATGGTTAAACTAACTGGTCCAAAATGACTAATGTTCAAACAATTTCCCCACATTAGCCAACTATTTTAAGTAAATTAATACAACAACAATAAAATTCCTATGTCTTTTTAAAATACTGATCCTCACTGCTGTTGTTGTGGGAATCCGCTTCATAACCCTCACCGTCCAATGTTCTGAAAGCGCTTAAACTTATTATCAGAACCCTGAATATACTTACAACCTCTTTTCTTCTTCTTCACTCCATACTGCAAGAAAACATTAGGGACTTCCTTACCAAGTCATCCTTTAACTTTTACAATTCATTTTTATTAAAAAAATCTATGCCTAACAAATAAGGGAATTGCTGCATAATATAACTAATCATACTATATTTCATTACAGGAAGGTTTCTTCAAATGCTTTGACTGATTGAAATAACTGAGATATTTTAATAAAGTTAAGGTCGTTAAAGGGTTAATTTCTTTCGAAATATCTATTTGCTTTCAAAGCAAGATATACCACTAGTAAAGAGTGCGGATACAAATCAAAACAATAAAAAAAATCAAATTACAAATTTACATTCTTACGTATGTGAACGCAAATGTGTGTTGTTTTCTTTTCTATTTCTTTTGAATTACAACAAGCAATGAGAAATCATAAAAGGGACTGAGTACATTCTTTCTGTTAAACCGTATTCTCAAATTTATATTCACCTCACTGGAGAGGTAACACAGAGCTTGTCACTGAATTCAATTGTCATTGCAAGTGAGGTAAAGTACCCAGATATATTCTTCAGTTTTGATTTATGGTATTGGTCGTGGTGGGCTCACTGCCATTGGAGACACAATGGTTTCGGACGGGTCTTGAAAGAAATTATCAGGCTACCATGAGGCAGTGTAAGCCAGGACTTGTAGATCCTTCTTGTGTGACGTGGACTTTTAAACAATTAGTGGAACGAGAAAATATGTCCAAGGAATTTTGGAATTTTATATTTATCCAATAAATTTATTCCAAATCCGATAAAAAGATTGTTGCTTTTATAAACAATTATAAAAATTTACTGAAGAAGTATATGATGTTCTCGAAATAAAGAAATTTTAGTTTGAACAACTTGATGTTAATTCCTCGGGATCTGATTGGAAAAGGAAGTTACTAATAATTTTTTGCAGCACGATACCTTAGATAGACATTTTGCGTAAAACATAGAACTAAATAGTTATGTTGCCATATTTTGGCTCATGGCACATAGCTGCATCTAGAAGTACTAAGCTTCTGATTTTGGCGTGAGATACAAACATTACAAAAATGAAAAGGTTTCTTGTTATTTATGAAAAATATGGTTAACATTTTTTTAGAAGAATTTTATATCGTTAATGAAATATCATTGTACATGCAATATGTCTGTCAAACATATCTGTATCGAGTTAGTAGGGTAACAAACCAGATGAGCTTTCGAGTTAGTGAAATCACTACATGCTTAGAATATCATAGTAAAAAAATGTAACAAAAACATTACTCTCATTTATCAAATGTCAACTACATATCTGCTATGTATCAATTCATAACAATATATTCATTTGCTTCCCACAACAAGCGTAGAAGCGTTCTTACAAATAGAGATATTTATAAACTCTCGTTATAAAAAAGCAGTCATAAACGTTTTTTTTTTTCTTTCAAACACATCGCGGGACATTGTCAAAAATTCTGCTACTACTTAGCTGTTTTAATTGTAAAAATTATATGCGGTGAAATAAAAAGGTTTGATTTTGGAGGATACTTCGATCCGGAAAAGAATTTGGATAACAAGAGCGATTTGGACTTTGATTGAACATTGGGACTACATACTGGGTAATTATGCTGGAAGGACTTTAATCATATTGATGAACCTGTAATAGCATTTGGTTGTGGTTAAATGGTGAGATGTTTGTAAATAAAAGACTACTATATTGTTTAAGTCAGAACGATTAATTTATTAGAGTAAACGGACATTACACTTTCCAAAATGCTACAATTTGTGCTAATAAACTAGAGCTAAGTCAAAATCGCGCAAATATTTAGTATTATGTTTTAACCATTAACCATGATTTTCCTTGTGGCTTGTTGATGTTTTAAATCAATTGCAATTGCAATTTGCACAAAATGCAATATATGCCGACTCTGCAATGAGACTGATATTGCAGTTTAAAGAGTCCGGTTTTATTTAAATATTCTACACAAATCTAATAATATACAGTCATTGACTAATTCACTTAATAATTTATATCAAATATTTGTTTTCGATCTATAACAAAAGGCGAAAACAGAGCAGTCAAGGCGATAGTCACCGTCAAATATTGACTTTATTTATATTGACAATATTTATGATATTGTGCTGTTCACTCTCCTATCTTTGGAGCATCGTAGAAGAATACAGGTAGATGCATCAATGCTTGGAAACATTGATATGTAAAACAATCTTAAATGTTTTTTCAAATATAAGCAGATTTTTATATTTTTTCTTGCGTATTTCAACAATTTTTATAAATTTAAATAATTTTTCATTCAACATATTCATTTCCAAACTTGGTTTGACAGTTCACTGTAGCAGCAGCTGTGTTGATGCGTCGACTTATATGCTTCTACCATGCTTTGGAGTTCGAACACACGATTGTACAATGAATGGTAGGTTTAGACTATGGATGATTAAATGACTGGGTTCAATAGATTCGGCGGGTTAACTCATGGTAGAATAATACAGGTAGATACAGCAACGCTTGGGAATATTGATATGTTAAAAGATTAAAATGTTTTATCAAAAATAAGTAGATTTTTATATGTATTCTTATACGATGCGAATCGGAGGTTGTTATGATATGTATTTTTCAACAATTTTTACATATTTCAATAATTTTGTTGTTTCAAAATGGCCAGGCTTAATCCCTTTATTGTTGTTTTTATAAAAACAACGTTTGTTTATTAGAGGAGAATGATGGTAATGTTTACCAATTGGATAATACAGGGAATACCTACGTTTCGGAAAGAGCCACCAATCCTCTTCAGTTCCCTTGTTTTTTGTCGGGGATATTCTCCCCAGAAGTTATTTTAAAAATAACTTCTATGAAAAATAAACTGTTTTTACCCAAGTGGCAAGTTTCTAAGCTCAATAGGAGAGGAACCAAATAATTTCTCAATTAATATTTTCAATTCCAAAATCGGTTTGACAATTCATTGTCCCAGCAGCTGTGTCGATGCGACCATGGTACAATAAAAAGGTAAGGTAGAGCTACCATCTGATTACAATTTTTTTCGAAGTGTGCCCGAGTTCTGCCAATGTATGTATTTATGGTTTTGAAAAATAAAAACAGAATATTTCCAAAATCGATGATTAGAAGACGCGTAAATTGCGAGACGCGCATTAAAGCTATTCGCCAGTTTAGCCAAGGATTTGAAAGATAGAACTGTTTAGATCATATTTTTGAAAGAAAATCCAGACATTTCATTAATTTTTCTGGTGTTTAACTGATTTTAAAGACTGAGGAAATGATTGAATAAATGGAAAAACTTGTTGCAATCAAATTTGACAGGAAGTGGGCACAGCAGTTACAGTACCCACATCTACAGTACACACAGTTGCAATACTCAATGTCACATATACTTTTTAAGAAACCCAAATCTGAAACAGTGTTGCAGATTCAAAATAAAGAAACTCCAATCTGCAACAATGTCACCGATCAAAACAGTCTCCCAAGTTGAATACAAACAAAAAAAGTCTAAACCTGCAACAACGTTGCAGAACAAAGAATAAAGTTTATAACAAAACTAAAGACCAATTACGAAGCTGTTCTCATGTGCGTGAAGATAAAATCGATTTTAACTAGCGAAGACAACACCCAGTCTGGGCGCACTTTCTGTTGTATAACAGTGTATAACAGATATGCGGAAAATAAAAACGATTTTTGTAGACGTAAAATAAAAACGATTTTTGAATATGCGAAACAAAAATGCAATTTTTTTAAATTTGTATTTATTCTTGTTTGTACCTGATAATGAACATAATTATAAGTATAAAAAAATAAAATAACTACTTTAAAGGTGTTTCAATAAAAAACTTTCGTCATCATACCAATTATTTTTTAATGGAAGAAAATTACATAGCCCACTGTGCAGCAATAAAAAATAGTGCACGCATATGAGTGACACGGCAGGAAAGGCAGTTCCAAGAGCTTTCTAAAACGCTATTACTTGGCCAAATCGATCGTGGAAAATTAGAGAAAAATCGATTTTTCTTATTTTTCAAAAGTTATCAACGAGTCCCACTGTGCGAAAACTAAAAATAGTGCAAGCTCATGGAATAGCACGTTGGAAAGCCCATGAGGTGTACTTTCAATATATGAACACTCCTGAAAGATTAATCGGGCAGATTTTTTTTAAAAAATATTTTTCCTAAAGTCAAGCGTTTTCTAGAGGGAAACATAAAATGGCCCACTGTGCAGCAATAAAAAATAGTGCACGCATATGAATGGCACTGCAGGAAAGGTCGTTCCAAGAGCTTTCTAAAACGCTATTACTTGGCCAAATCGATCGTGGAAAATTAGAGAAAAATTGATTTTTCTTATTTTTCAAAAGTTATCAACGAGTCCCACTGTGCGAAAACTAAAAATAGTGCAAGCTCACGGAATAGCACGTTGGAAAGCCCATGAGGTGTACTTTCGAGATATAAACACTCCTGAAAGATTAATCGGGCAGATTTTTTTTAAAAAAATATTTTTCCTAAAGTCAAGTGTTTTCTAGAGGGAAACATAAATGGTCCACTGAGCAGCAATAAAAAATAGTGCACGCATATGAATGGCACTGCAGGAAAGGTCGTTCCAAGAGCTTTCTAAAACGCTATTTAGAGAAAAATCGATTTTTCTTATTTTTCAAAAGTTATGAACGAGTCCCACTGTGCGAAAACTAAAAATAGTGCAAGCTCATGGAATAGCACGTTGGAAAGCCCATGAGGTGTACTTTCAATATATAAACACTCCTGAAAGATTAATCGGGCAGATTTTTTTTTAAAAATATTTTTCCTAAAGTCAAGTGTTTTCTAGAGGGAAACGTAAATGGTCCACTGTGCAGGAAGAGCTTTCCGTATTTATATCCAGACATTCCATTCATTTTTCGCGTTATTTGACTCATTTTAGAAATGAACAAAAAATATCAATTAAATGAAAACAACTTCTTGCCTGTAATATTGAATAATTCTGACAAGAAGCGGGTATAGCCTTAAGGCTGTATTTCTGTAGTTCTACGAAGCTGTTCTACCTCCTTATTGTACCATGGTAAATCTGCGCACATTACCAAACTATCACTAAAATCGATGTTTCTCTCTATAGTCTGGTAATGTGCAGTACATTTAGACATATGAAAAATGTTAGAGGGAAATAGCTATAATCTGTGCACTTTACCAAACTATCGCTAACATCGATGTTTTTCCCGATAGTCTGGTAATGTGCAATACATTTAGACATATGAAAAATGTTGTAGGGAACTAGCTATAATCTAAACTATCGCTAACATCGATGTTTTTACCGATAGTCTGGTAATGTGCAATACATTTAGACATATGAAAAATGTTGGAGGGAACAAAGTATAATCCACGGTACAATAATAAGGTAAGGTAGAGCTCCCAGCTAATTACAACATGTTTTCTAAGTGTGGCCGACTTCTGCCAATTTTGTGTATATATTTGTTTGTAAAATCAATGATTGGAAGAATTTTATATTGCTGGACGCGCATTAATAATATTTACCAGATTTGCTATGGAATTGAAATATTGAACACATAGGGTCATATTTATGAGAGAACATCCAGGTATTTCATTCATCTTTCGCTTTATTTGATTCATTTTAGAAGAGGACAAAAATATCAATAAATGAAAACAATTTATTGTGATAGTTTGGTAATGTGCGCAGATTTACAATGGTACAATAAGGA